CTTGATCGTCTATCTTGATTTGAATTCACTAAATGAAGTCAACTGTTGAAATTCATTTTAACTTTTCCCTTCTATTTTTCTCCTTGTTTATAATTTCATGACTTGCTTACCCTTAATTGAGAAGAAAGTTTTTTGAAGTATTTTTCGATTTGTCGGTTCATTTGCAGATGTTGAGTCATGAATTTTCAAGAATTTTGAACGTATTTAATACTCTTTTGAACGTTTCAGTGATTTTTGTTTGTATTTTTTTTTCAGGAAAAAGTCTTAACGTTTGTTCACGCTCAAATTTTAGAGTTTTTTCGCGGTTTGAATTTTAATTTCTTTTTCAGTTCAATTTTTTTTCAATTGAGAAAAGGATGACAAACGTCATAATTGAACAGCAAAAGTGCTAAGGCCTTGAAAAACGTGATCGAATTTAGTTTCGAAAATGGAGTTTAATTATCAGATTTTCAGCTGCAATAATCATTTTACCTATTGATCAGTTTTGCTCAAATTGGGGTAATTTCATCAAAGAGCGCCAATCATAAATCGTTCATGAAATTCAAAAAAGAGCTTTAAAAGCACATATTTTTTCGTTGAAACTCGAATTTCGATGTTTTTTTGAGATAAAAAGGCGGTTTTTTATTTCCTTGCATTCATGACTCTTCTTTCTGTTGGCAATGTTCTTAAGTTGCAGGTAATTCAGTTCGTAGATTTCGGATTTGCTTATAACTTTTATTTTTTGGAAGTTTTTTGGTTAATAATGATAGCCATTGTTTTTTCTATCGAAAGTGGTGCGGAGCTCTGCTTCGCCCCTGTGTGATTTGTTGTTTCGATTTCAGAAGTTTTTCGATAGACATTTGTCAATTTGCATAATCCTGAAATTTAGGAACATTAAAGGTCTGGATGGGCTTTGTCAAGTGATGCCCTATTTAGTATTTAATAATAAATCAGTTCATCTTTTAACTTGCGTTCAAATTTAAACCAAATGTTATAACAGCAACCTGTTTGAGAAGATTGTTCCTGAATTTTAGACGCTTCTAATGTTTAATCAGTTTTTTTTTAAATAAATATATAATGAAATCATGTCCCCTTATTTGTTTTTCAGCCCTGAGGATTTGCGTCTGCTATAATATAATCTACTTCCAAAGGCAATAATTTCTTACAAATAATTTTAACAAAGTTACCGAAATTGCCTGAAACTCTGACCTCTCATTTCTTTATTATCTTCAAAAAAAAATTTTGATAAGCTGTAATTTTAAACTTTCTTTTTTTTATTTCGTTTAGCCGTTTGCTTAATTGCAGACAGACGTTTTTATAATTTAGTTCATCTTGCCTGATTGTTTGACATGTGAAATCCTTGAATTTTGCGTTTTTTTAACTTGAAAAAATATTTTGACATTATTTTGACTGACAACTTGATCACCGAAATATTTGGCGTTTTTCCTTGAAATTTTTTGAAACTGAAACTGTTCTTGATCGTCTATTTTGATTTGAATTCACTAAATGAAGTCAACTGTTGATTTTCATTTTAATTTTTTCCTTTCTATTTTTCTCCTTGTTTATAATTTCATGACTTGCTTGCCCTTAATTGAGAAGAAATTACTGCGCTTGGTTGCTAGTTTAAATGATGCAGATTCAGTTTTTGTTCTGGATATTATGCAAACCAACGCCACAGTTGAGTTGTCCAGATTTTGGTTTTTTTTATACCACGGAGCTATAGTTCATTGGATAATGTGCGACCAATGCTAATTTGATAAATAACTTCTTCTAAGCTACTCGTATTCTCGTTTGTTCATGTTCAGTGCCCCTTTTCATTTGCGTAAAATGCACTTCATACAGTCTTTTTATGTTTCAGTGGAGGATTATCGAGTACCGGAAACAAGATTGTAACTTGTAGAAATTTCAGCAAAGCATTCCATCAAAAGCTTATTTTCAAATTTTTCTGTTCGGTTTGAATTTAAAGCAACACGTGCAGCCTAGCTATCGGAAAAGGCTTCCTAAACGTAAACATAAAGTGTTATTTTTTTGTGAGCGCTGATAAGACTATTTATACACGAGGCAGCGTGCCAAGGGGAAGGGGGGCGACCGCCCTCCCCCTCAATTCTGGTTGCCAAATTTTTCCAAAGAGTCCCCCTTTAGCATAATTTTACGTACGGCGTCCAAAACGACGTTTTTGGCCTGTTTTTTTTTTGAAAAATTTTCCTGCAGCGCAGAAAATTATTGACAAAATAGGATACTTTTAGAATTATCGGAGAGTTCGGGAAATCAAATTAGTCGACCTAAAAAAGGGGTCAGCAAGTTTTTCGAAAAACCGCTTCTCTTCCCATAGAAAAACTACGCTGTCATTGACACGAGGGAAAGGACCAGCATACGGGCTGTTTAGCGGAGGAATGCTGCTGTGTCCCTGATTAAGATATAGATGTATTGCAACGAGCACGAATAATGGTAGGCCTCGAACCTCTGACCTTTAGTTTGAGACATAACCGCTTCACCACCACTCCCCTTGCTTATAAAAGAAAACTGGAGCACAATTAAAAGTGATTCCTTGTCTTTTGTTTTTGACATGGTGACATTGAAAGGTTGCCTGGGGATTACATTTTTGCCTTAAATACGAGTTGTGATAACAAGGTTGAAAATGGATCCCAATTGGCTCTGAAATTTAAAAAAAAATCTGTTATCTAGCTGCAAGAATTGCTCTGAGATTTTTTGCTCTGAGAAACGCATTTATCCGTTAATTTAATTCAATTAAGTTGCAGATAAAGTAATAACAGTAATAAAACACCTGAAAAGATATGTTTTTTTTTCAATGCATTAGAATATGCCTCGTGAGATAATTTGAATGGCGTAGAATCATTGAGTAGTTATAAATTTCCAATCAGTTTGCTTTTTGTGGTCGTACATTCCATGCTTTTGAAATAAAATAGTAAAAATAAATATATAAACAAACTCATATGCCCCTCATACTTGTAAAAACTATGCAATTCAAATAAAAAAGTGCAGCAGAGAGTAGTAAATTTTTAGGGACAGTTGTCCGAGGACTGCATATTTTTAAAAACAGTTTTGGTCATATAATGGCTTTCCTTCTGCACTGGCGTTCGACCTCGAATTATGCCGCTTGGTTTAATAAAAAATTTAATTGAAGTTCTGGTAATCCTCGCCTGAAAGAGTGATAATGTGAATTTCAAAAATAAAAAGAACAAGTTTGAAAAAGCAAGTTTCTCGAAAAATAACAACTCTATGCATCAGATTATGACAGTCGGAACATGAGTGATACATCATTTGTTGTCAAAAAAGCAAAAAAAAAACAACCTCTAACAGTTTTGAGCAAGCTTGAAATAAGAAAAAAACTTATTGACTGAGTTTTTCTCAGGTGTATGCAGTACTTCTGTAAATGAAGATCTAGATAATATCGCTCCAATAAAAATGAAACATACAAAACAAAAATCAATAGGTTATGATTACTGCAAAAAACTTAACCAAAAAAGGGATCATCTGCTAGAGTATCTTGCTATTAAAAAAGACGCTGCGTGGCAAAGATTCGTGAAACATCGAAATGAAATTATGGCAGTAGTGAAAAAAGTAAAAAGAGAACTCTATGAAAAAAAAATTGCTCGAAAAATTGTTTTCAACTAGCCAAAGATCTAGACGGATCAGATTGCTACACCGATGTTGATACAAAATCGGAGTCTTTGATTGACTACATTTTTGAAAGTAGGACGATTTTTGCAATAAAAGTGATAGCTAGTTTCAATAACAAATCTATCAAAATTACACAAAATTCGATTGTACTAAAACAAACTGATGGTAATTGAAACAAATGACAGGTTTAATTTTAAGTCCCATGGTAATACCGAAGTAAGTAATTTGATTTTGAAATTTTCAAACGCGGCAGCTTTACTTAGCACCATTATTTAACCAATATGTTTCAGATTATTTTTCCTGATGCACTGAAAATTGCTTAAGTGGTCACTATACATAAAAGCGGAGCCAAAATATTTTGTTGAAACTACAGGCCATATTCATTGCTACCTGTTATAAGCAAAGCAATGTGTATCTGAGTTTGCCACGAAGGAAAATGTAATAACACCGCAACAACTGGGCTACAGAAATAAAAGGTCAACAGTAGATGCGATTTCTGATTTTGTAGAAAACGTTATTGCTAGACTTCAAACCACGAGATTGTAGCTTGTGCTTTTGTAGATCTTTCAAAAACCTTTAATGCAGTAGATTATGGAGTGTTTCTCGAAAAATGTTATGCAGACGATTTAAAATATCCAATCTCTGAAATTTTGATTTCTACTCTGACAAACATCAAACATATCAATTTGTAGAAACTAGTGATAGCCAATAAAAACAACAGAAATTGTTTTGTGGGGTTTCAGAGGAATCAGTTTTTGGAACTTTGCTCTTTTTTGTTGTATGGGAATGATCTGCTTGTTTGTCAAGCAGATGTGTGAGGGTTTTTTTTCTCATTATACAACTATTTTTTACGTTCGTTTTTGAAAATTGCGTTAATTTGTGTCAAGCTTTGCTAAAGTTAACAATAACAAATCGACAGTTTTTTTTAAACATCCATTTCCTAGCATCCATATAAAACGTCACGAGCTAGAGTATAAGGAATTGAAGTACCTTGGTGTAGGTGTAGTTTTGAAAATGAAATATGAGCAGCATATAGTTCAACATAATAAAGTACTCGCATTCTCAGCCAAAAATTATCTCTATAGACAGGATGTCTCTCAATCAAAAACCCTGAGTTGGACTTTCTAAAACTCACCTAGAGTCAGTATTGCAATATAGAGTTCTATTATGCAATTAGGCTAATATAACCAAATTGAAACGTTAGTAAGCTCTCAAAATGCATAAACAATTACCACATGAACAACTCTTTTTAGAATAGTGTAAAAGAATTCAGTTTTTTTTTCGTTATTAAGATTGGGAATTTTGTGATCGCCGCCTCTGCTTTTGCATCTAATGGTTCATCAACCTTTGATTGGAATTGCAGATTGTGTACTTTGCAGAAGATAGAAAATAATGGCGGCAAATCAGCTGAATCGACAACGAAAGTGTCTAAGAATGTGAGTAATACTCGTGGCTTTTGGATAGCGTGATTTGCCAATCAAAATATGGAGAAAAAAACATGTAAACGGTTCTATATCCCAATGGCACAATGTCTGCTTTTTTAAACCTGCCATTTTGAGCTCTAAACTTCCTTATTTTTGTTCCTGTTCCATGTTCAGGCTTATGTTCAGCAGGGCCAATGTATGGGAATTATATAAACACAGTTTCTTGAAATTGTTATGACCGGAGCAAAAGTGCCCCAAGTTTTTGCTGCGTTATGAGGAAGACAAAAAAGATAGATTTACCTACCAAAATGTCCAAATTGTATATTTAAACGTTGTTTTAGAAAAACTCCAGCAATTCAAGCGGCAAGATCAAGATCAAAAACCCGCGGAAATTGGTTTTGAAGACCGAAAAGTCTGTAAATCAACTAACTGCAATAGGCATGCTATCACTAGCTTTCAAATCATCAGCTATATCAAAATTAGCTCCAGCGGCTTCTTTGGGCTCTAGTAGTGGCTGATCACCAGCTAGCTCCCCGTCTTCGAGTAGAGGAGGAGGAATTTTTTTCGAATCTGGCAGCGGCGTGGGAAAATTGACTCCAGCGAGAGCTACTGGCTCGGAAACATAATTGCTAATGAAAAAAAATGACTCAGCAAAAAAAACAGTATTTTCAGTAAACTGTATTTTTTTTGTTTATTTGCAAATATTGGACAAAAAAAAAAATTAAAAAGGCGCATCTTGAAGGCGAAAATTATTTTCTGAAAAACATACTGCATAAAGTTTTAACAGAAGCACTGTCAGAAAACAAAAGGCACAGATTGTGTTCGTGCGGGCTAAACGAGTTCCAATTTTATTTCGCGGACACGGATTTTCTTTTTACTTTTATCTAGCGTTTGATTCAACAAGTTACATAGCTTAGTTGAACAATAATATACTTTTAGTTACTAACTGTACTTAATTTTATTTGAAGTCTATCTTCGGTTTTGTAATTTTTAATTTTGAAAAGTCAATTCTTACGAGTAATGAACAATAGGTCTTCCTGCTTTTTGATTTTTTTTTCTCAGGAAAAAATCCTAAAATTTGCTTAAGCTGAATTTTGGTTTTTCGCGGTTTGACTTTTAATTTCTTAGGCTCACTTCATCTTTTTTTTTGTTGAAATGAGCAAACTCCACTATCGAACAGCAAAAATCTTAAGGTCACAAAAAATGTGACCGAATTCTAATTACGCTTGCGATTAGCAAGCATTATCAAAACGGAATATAGACTTTTTCGGGTTAACAACTAGTTTAACAAAATCAGTTGAACCACTTATTCAAGTTCAATTAGTACTGACCATGTCCGAGATTTTGATGATGCTATGCAGCTGAAATGCTCAATTTCTCAAAAAATCAAATTTAACTACTGGGTAGGTACTAGGTACTACAAGTTAATTTCAAAGGAGACGTGAAACACGTTTGAGAAGCTTCGGAAAATTTCATCACTTCGCAATTTTTTTTCTCAAAAATACGTATATTTTTTCTCATAAGCTTACGTACCAAATCTGAGATTTTAGCTTCACTGAATAGAACGGCTTTGAAAAGCTCTCATCTATGCTCCGATACGTACAAAATTTCTTTCATACATACAAAAAAATGGCCCTCGGAATACTGAAAACTTTGATGTTTTTGACTGTTTGTTGAATCGAAGTCTTATCTCCCAAACGTCAGATTATGGGTTCAATGGACATGTTGGGTTAAGTTTAATCGACACAACAGGTTGTTTGGTAGTTTGCCTTTATAATTTGCTAAGCCCAGTTTCTTTAAAAAAAGTTAAAGTCTTCAAACAAATGAAAGTTTTGGAACTTTGACCGTTTTTAAATTTTTTTGACTGTGCTCCGGTTGGGTGGGTTCAAAGGAGAAACCCGATAAAATTCACTTTTTAAAAAAGTCACTTTTTTGCGATCATTGACTTTATTTCAAATGTCTTTTGGCTATTTTTTTCTAAAAGCATTTTTGGCTTCCTTGTTTTTTCAAGAAAAAAAGTTGTTTAATTTGTAAAAAAACGGATATACGCCCAGACACTAAGTTTTTCAAATTGACGAAAAGTTGGAGGCAAGGTTAGTGTATGTTAATGATGTCTCAAAAATTAATATACGTTCAAATTGTCTTGAAACTTGATTGAAAATTGTTAGACCGGTTTCTTGGAGAGTGAAAAAAAAAGATTTTTACACGGTCAAACGAATTCACTTTTTTCAATTAGTTTTAGACCACTATCAATTATATAAAAAAAACGTTTATGCAATGAATTAATAGTTTTTGTTTTTTGATATCAGCCAAAAAATAACAAAGCCGTATGATCAGAAAGCGCCCCTAGAAAATTTTTGGATCAGGTAAGAATAGTACCTAAGGCAAGAACCTTTAAATGGTCAGGATATCCAACTCCACTCACCACCCCAAATTCTTCTATTGCACATGATTTTCGCGTCCTTGATAGTTCCAAGATCTGCTTCTTCTCAATGTAATCTTTTTTGTCTTTCTTTTCATATTTGAACTGCAGTATGATGTCAAAAGTTAACTAGAGTGCTTTGAAAATTGCATTTGCCAGCTGTCGTAAATAACCTAAAGCTCTTTAAAATCTACCAGGAATTTTTATAACTTCCTTTTTAAAAATCGTTTCATTATCACAAACGGACATCATTCAACGTCTTCGGTAACACACAATTGAAGGACAATTATATACTTTGCGATGTAGCAACGTGATATGAACTATTCAAAATAATTATGTTGGACTCTTGTTACAAATTTTGTCTTCGTCTTCATTGATGAAAAATGTCCATCTTTGACAACCAAAAAGTAGTGAAAAATTTGCCTTCATTGCGGCTTTAGTGAATTCTTTGAAACTTTTTTTAAGTGTTTTACTCAGATGCTTCGTGGTACAGCCACGTGATAGGAATTTTTTTTAAAAAGCGGGGCTCGTCAACTTCTAGATATTTTCTTCCAAGATGGTTTTTATTGCCCCGGCCTGGTTATTTGTTCCTATCAACACCGGTTTTGAAAGATAGGATTTTATCTTTCTGTTTATCCTTTTCTGGACCTATTTATTAAATCAAAGGCAACTGCTGCTTTTAAAATTAGTTTTCTTCTTTCTTCATTCAATTTCAAAAGAACTCATGGCAACTTTGTACACAAAAGAAAGTTGACAACCATAAAAGATTTCCAAAACAAAAAATGTTTGCAACTCTAGATAAAACAATTTCAATCATAGACTGGCAGAAAATTTGATTGACTGAAAAAGCTAGCAGAAATTGTATCGTTAGCGCATTTCAGTGAGAATTTATTTTCAAAGTTTAATCTCGGTGAAAAAATTAAAAATTATAAAATTATGTTTTTTGAGCTCAAATACAATCTTAAAACTGGACTTTTTTCATGATCTAACTAACTTGTCACAGTTAAAAGCACTCAGAACAACCGGTATTGAAAAAAAACACGAGTTAATGAAAGAATTAAAAAAATGATTTTTATTAAAGATTTTACGACCCAATAGAGACCCGAGTAAAAATGTATGTCATACAAATTCATCATTGGAAAATAATTAAAAATTAGACATCACGCTTATTTCCTTGAAAATTTCCTTCTAAGAATCTTGTATGATAAGAATTTTTTCCAATCCAGTGTTCAATTAGTTCAGAAACCAGTTAAATTATGAGAGGGGGCTTAGATAACGCGAAGTTTATATGCCCTTTTACCTGGCGCCTGTTTCAAAGACAAAAATTTGACTAATTGCTTCCATTTACACTAATTAAAAAAGTTAAATTGATAAAATCAAGACCCAAATCACTACCGTCCGTCAAGTTCATTCAAGTTTTCAATTATTAATTGTTTATTTAATTATGAATTTTACTTAATGGTCGGAATCTTCAGCATCAACATTTCAATCTATTCTATTTGCTGCCCGATAAACAGTCGGTAAACTACCAAAAAAAGTTTGCAGCTGAGAATTTAAGTCGAAAAAAATAACCCTACAAAGAGAAGAAGCAAAATTTGCTTTCTAAGACGAAACGAAAATGGCATTTGTCTATGTAGTTGGAGCTGGCAATGATACTCTGGGCGATTCTGTCCCAGACGAAGACTGGAGTCTTGTGAAATTCGCAACAAATATGAGCGACAGAATTGGACTTTGCTTCACGCTTTTCGGTTTTCTGTTCAACTACTTCTGCTTTATAACGGCCGACCATCTGCCTGTCTCGACCAGTGGTGCAACACTGATAAAGTAAGTCGCAGTGTGGGACATTATGAACTGCTTGGTCAAAATATGAGTGCTATACACTGCAATGACGAGTCAGAATTATTTGCAGTTGTAAACATACACGTTGAGTAAAAACAGAAAGAAGGCTACTCGTTTAAATTATTGCTTTTATCTAAAAAATGTCTGTTTTAATCTTCTAGTATAAACTAATATGTCAAAAAGATATATTGTAATCAAACAATAGCAAGTAACAATTTCAATAATATTTTTTTCGAAAAATCAAAAAACAACATCACAAAAACTGTGCAAACTTCAGTCTCAAAGATAGCAGGTTAATAGTAGTTGGTGCAATTTCAACTATTGTTTTAGATATTCTTGCTTTTTTTTAAAAAAAAAACAACTCAAAAAGAGGGATTTGTGCGTTCTGATTTTAGTATTAAATGTTACTGACTGAAATTTTACAATTTTCAAATTTTTTATGGAGTTAAAAAATAATACCAATTGTGCCAACAATTTGACATTAACTATAGCAAAATACGGAACGCGAGTTGCGCCGTGGCAGCATTTGGGCTGATCGTCAACTCTTCTGTCCTCTACATATTCGAACTACGGAACGGCAGATGCCTTTTTAGCCAGGCTATTCTGACCAGTCAAGCTGTTCTGGCAAAGGTAATTAGACCGGTCTATATGTCTTTGAACGTTTTAGGACCATCTTTGGTGCTAATTGTCTGCAACATTATTTTCATTCGAGAATTGAGAACACGTGAAGAGAAAAAAGACAATAATGGTGCAAATGACGCCGGAAAATTTATATGTGCGCAGAAAAAAGAGCAAATAATTCAGAAAAAGAAAAATATGCAAGAATACATCAAAATAGTAATGGTCGCTTCCATTTCTTACTTGGTATGTACAGTTTGTGTGACTGTTATCACAACGTTGGCTTCAAGAACAGATCCTGGCACTGAGCTACGACTTCTCCTGAGATCTATTGGAGTAACTTTTGGACTGATAAATACTTCGGCTAACTTTTTGTTCTACCTTATGAGTGGAAAAGCGTATCGAGTTTCGTTTCTGAAAGCAATTTCTGCCAAATTCCGGACAGGTGCAAATAGGCCGAAATAACAAGAAGAAATTGGAAACTAATGGAACATTTGAGGACAGAAGACTTACTGGTGGTTCATATAGATCACTTTTAAAAAGTTGTTTCAAGCAAAATAATCTAAGCTAACAACTCTTGGGTGAAATTGCAGTCTGTTTCAAGTGTCTCAAAAAAAATTTTTTTGTTGAATTTCTTTT